TTCCTGAAGAGTGCCGCACCGCTGTGTTGCCATGGCAGCGAGGTCCTTGCCATGGCAGCCAGCTAGGCATCGCCCCTAGCACCTGCGTTCAGGGCCAGATGCTGTCCAATGACCAGGGTGCCTCTGAGCATGTGCTGTGAGCTTCTTCAGCCTGCCAGTGAGTCATGCAGCCTGTTCCTACCTGCCTCAGTCTGAGAGTTCCCGGGTGTGGCTACAAAGCAGCTTCAGCCCCAGCAGCTCACTTGGATCGAGGAGGACTGTATGTACAATTGACAGAGTGAGTGAGACGGTGCCAAACCAGAAGTTCAGGAACAGCCTGGCATGGTGGTGCCTCCAAACAGGGCTGGGCAGCTACAACTCCCAGTAGCCCCAGCCAGTGAGGCCAGTGACAAGTGGCTGCAGGCCCCCTCCCTGCTCTGAAAGGTAGAGACTTCTTTCTGCAAGACTCGAGGAGAAGCTGCCCGTTGCCCGTCCTCCCGGGCAAGAGCTCCAGAGGAGCTGAGGGAGACCCAGCACTCCTTGCTGTGAATGTTGCCAGGGGCTCACTGAGCTTCTACAGGGCACCTGGAGCATTGTCTGAAGGCGGCGTGGAGGGGAAGCTGCTGCCTGTTGCCCCACATTGCCCACTTGAGAAGAGCTGCAGCCCCAGGACCCCTGAGATTTCAGCCATGCCAGGTTGGCAGAGGCTGAGGGGCACCGGGTGCCTGTCCAGCTTCTGTGTCCTTGAGATCCAGAGCTCTCTGCCCGGTATGGAAAAGAACAAGTCCCGGCGTTGTAGGTTGCCTCGCCCTTAGCCCCTGGATCTCGAGGAGTCTGGGCGGAGAACATCTCCCCAAGATTTGGATACAGCTGCCGCTGGTGGTCCCAGGCTGCTACTTGCATTCTAGGATGACTCTCCTGGCCTGCTTCGCACGGTTGTTGTAAACAGCCTTTAGATGCCCTGGGAGTCGTACACACTCGGCCTTTGGGCCTGAAGACAGAGGGCGGGGATGCACACCTGTGCATGCGTCCCCTGCCGAAAGGCAGCCTGGGTGTGGCTGGCCTCCCACCCTGAGTGGGATGGTCACCCAGAGTGGAGCAGCTCTGCCGCCATTCCGGTTTCCGCTGAAGGAGCAGCAGCTGCTGGCTGGCTGGCTTTGCGGCTCTGAGGATGAGGGGGCAGGGCAGGGCAGGGCAGGGCCGCTTCCTGGATCGCCTCGGCTCTCCTCCTCTGTTGTGGTGGTGATCTTTCTGGATTAAAAGCGAGTAACATTTTGGGCTCCCGGGGAGCAAACCACCTGCTCATTTGATGGATGCGGCCCCTGAGCAAAGGTGTCGTCCTGAGCCCCACCTGGGCACTTCGGGGGGGCCTCCCCCCGTCCTCGGGATTTGCACTACCTCTCTGCCTGGAGAAGTGTCTGCGGCTGCCTGTGAGTAAGTGAGGGGAGCCCCGCGCTTGCTGATCTGTTCACGGGGCCAGTGTTTCCTTCTGAGCTCTGTGCAGCCTCTCATGGAGGCCGAGGTCCGGCTGGAAATGGGGAGGCCTCGGCTTGCACACAGAGCCCCGCTTGGGTCCGGAGGGAGAGTCCCAATGCTCTCTGTTGACCGGGTCCTGGGGTTGAGGTTGGCACCTACGGGGTCATAGCCAACCCTCCTTTGCGAAACCAGGGAGGCTGTTGGCCCACCCTGCAGGGTCCTGTGGCGCCTCTCAGAAGGAGATGGGAACGAATGCCGGCTTGCTGAACAACCGTCCTCTGTATCTCATAATAAAATGAGCAGCAGCAATAAATTATCGGGAAATGAGCATATATTAAGGAAAGCTGTATGTGAAAAATGGACAGATTTTCAGCAGTTTAAAGATAGTAATCAAAATGGGAAAGTTAGCAAGCAAAAGCTGTATAAAAATACACGGAATAAATAGTCCCAGCTTATTTATTATTAATTCGTTGGATTTCCATCCTGGCTTTCCTCCCAAGAGCTCCAGGTGGTTTACATACCTACAAAAACCCTGTGAGGTAGGCCAGGAGAGCACATCGGGGGGTCACCCAGTGAGTTTCCATGGCCAAGGGTGGTCTTGAGCCCGGGTGGCACTCCACCTCTTTGGCACGATGCCGCACTGCCACGCAGCCTCATCTCAAGTGGCCCCCTGAACGGTTCCACTGCAGCTGGATAAGTCTTCGGCTTCCTTTCCCCCATGTGCGTTGAGGGGCCAGGACTCTGGAGAAGGCCCTCTGTTCTGATTTGGAGAGGGCCAAATTCTTCGGGGGCTGGGGGTGCCAGGGCAGCTGTGACCAGCGGGCTGGAGGCCCCATTGGCTCTGCTCCAGTCATGTCCAAGCAGTTCATTTCTGGCCTGGTTAGCAGGACAGAAAGATGGAACTCACATCGAAATTCTTTGAGTCATTGTTGGTTTTATTGCAGCCTAAACTGGGCTATGTTCCTAGGATCCTGGTTTCATAATATGCCGAAGTTTGCAGCTTGCCTCGAGCACTGGAAAGGTGGTTTCCAAAGGAAGCCAGCATTTTGCACACCATGGGCATACATAAAGGTCTCATCCTGGAGCGAGGATCTACGCACCGGGCGCACACCGCCACTCTGCCATTTCTTTGAAGCCCACAGTGCTATTTTCTAGTGCATTATTGATGAGCATTGAGGAGGGGGGTGGCACTGAAGCCCTCTCTCCCGCCCTTGCCCTGCACACTCACTGGAGGACAGGCGGCTTTCCTTGGCATCCCACAATGCACTGAGGCATTCCTGCACAGCCTCCCGTGGAAACCCAGTGCGCCTTCCAGAAAGGCCAGCTCTGGCGGCCCGCATGTTTCCAGCCCCGCTTCCCCCGGCCGCCCACTCCCGGCTGCAGGGCAGGAAAGCCCTCCTTGCATGCTGTCTCTGGAGCAGCCAGCATGAGCACAAGCTGCCCTCTTGCTCCTCCATCCCCTGCCACCTCTCTGGGTGAGGAGGTGAGCCAGTTTGTGCCGTTTGCCTCCCGCCCCCACCCTGAGACCCCTCCGCTTCCTTCCTTGCCAAGCCATCTGCGCAGGGGGGTGCTCTCCGTTGTCCTCCCAGAGAGCCTCCCTTTCAGCCATGGGGCCAGAAAGGGTGTGTGTGTGCAAGGTGGATGGGCGAGGCAGCAGCTTCTCTCTTGAGGTGGCCTGGTGGGCAAGAGACTCTGATCCCAGGATGCGCCTGCTGGGGGGGGATCACTTTCGGGGTCTCGGCAGAACAGCCGGGATCAGGACCCAACTGTCGTCAGGCAGGTGGTTCTGCCCGAAGGGTGTGTGATGAAGACAGGCAAGAGTTCGGGATCCCTCTGCAATATTGCTTGACCCCCCTGCTTGTCCTGGTGGGAGGGTGAATCAATCAGGGCTGTCCATTCAGGAATTGTTTTTTCCACTCTCTACCTCTCTCCTGGTGAAGCAAGGATTTGAGGTCACACTGGGTGGGAATTCTGGGAACTGTAGTCCTAAGACATCTGGAGGCATCTGGGTGGGGTCAGCTGCTCTTGTCAGCCCAGATGGTTGGCTTTGCAACTGTGCCATGACACAGGAGTTCATAGACTTCCGAGTGGGAAGGGGCCCTTGAAGCCACCTAGCCCTCCCTGCTCAGTGCCGGAATCCAGAGGGGAGAGTCTCTGACCCATGGCTATCTGGAGAAGGCGTCCAGCAAAGGGCAGCCCTCTGGGTCAGCGGGTCCACTGTCAAACCACTCTCACCATGAGGCGCGTTGTCCTACTGTTCGGCCGGAATCTGCCTTATACCCTTTTAGCAACTTAAGCCCCTTATTCCATGTCCCGCACGCTGGAAGGGGGAAAATGGCCTGGGTTCCTTCTCTGTGCCCCCCTCCAGGTGCCTCCTTCCCTCAGGCAGCCATCCCGGGGCTGAGTTTCGCATCCTGAGATGATTCTTGGCGCCCTTCTCTGGCCTGGCTTGGTTTCTCTGAATTTTTTTGTTGCAGGACTTGAGGCAGGTCTGAGCGAAGCAGCGTGAAGGGGCACAGTGCCTTCCTGGGATTCGGCAAACGTGCCTCTCTTGGGGCACCCGAAATGGCACGGGCCTTGTGCGCAGCCCCTTCTCACAGCTGCCTCATATTCAGGTTGCAACAGAATATTCTTCTAATACCTTTACCAAGCCAGGTATATCCCATCCTGCACCTGTGCCTTTCATTGCCCTTTCTTAAACAAGAGTTCTTTCTTTAGCCCATTTCTTTAACCTGTCAATATCCTTTTGAAATGTATTTGTATCTTCTGGGGTATTAGCTATCCTGCCAGATTTTGCATCATCTGTAAAGGTTAAATATGTTCCCTCCATAAATAAGGAAGAGGAAAGGATTCAGGATTGATATTTGCAGCACCCCACTTGATGCCTTTACCCACATTCATTGCAACGGGCATCGTCTGCAGTATTCCCAAAGGTGGGGAAGGTCAGCTGCCCTCCCATGGGGGGCTATGGGAAGAGTGCGTGTTCTTGCTCTGCTTGTACGGCTGCAGTTGTGCTGGGTTAGGAAAGGAAGGCCCTGGGTCCAAGAGAATGTTTCATGCTGGGATTGTGGGACTTGTGGTCCTTACGCATCTGGAGGGCAGCTGGAGGGAGAAGTCTGGCTCAGCCTCCCTTAGAAAAAGAGCCGGAGGGAGTGCGTGTGTTTTGCCCCCTAAGAAGGTGGAGAAACTTAGAATAAAGGTCCGGTCTGTAAGAGGCCAAAGCAGGGATTCAGGACTCTTGAACAGATAAGATTTACTTTCTGGTGGGAATATCAGAGCAGACTTTAGGTGTAACATCTTACCCCCAAACAAGTAGCCGTGTTATCAGTGGTTCCCCCTCCAACCCCGAGCCCAAAACACAGTGTGCAGTAAGTCACAAAAGGACGTTTGTTCTAACTGGAAACAAGTAACGAGATCCTTATAACCAGCTCTTTCCGGGTGTCTCTGCTGCAGGGAGAGCAGCCGGTGGAGTTTTCCTCCAAGCCCCTCCCTGGCCCCCAGCGTAAAACAAGGCCGCTTCCCAGGGGTTCTTCCTGGGCCCCTAGGAGGTCACCTGGTGGGCAGGCTGACTCTTGGGGGCACCCGTTGGGAATCCTGCAGGGCCAAAAAGAGACCAATAGTGCAGAGCATATGCAGGGTCCCCCCGTAAGTAGCACTAGCTGTAGCAGCAGCCAAATGTGCCCCCAGAAACATGCAGCAGCACACCTGTCTTAGTGGCTTGTAAAGCCAAGCCGGGGTGGTAGATGGCCAAACAGAGCCGTCTGCAGAGCCGTGGAGAAGGCCCTGTTCAGCCTTCGGCCTTTCCGTTCTCAGCCTGGCAAATGCCTCACATCCTGAGGGTGTCTGCCAGCCGGAACTGTGGCACTGGGCTGCGTGGCCAAGGGCACAGTGTGGCGTCGGTGGGAAGTTGCAACTGGGCTCTTTTAGCTGGAGAGACTTTGGCAAAGCCCGAGGATTGTCTGGGCTCAGTCCCTGCTAAGTGCTGCTCTCTTGGAAACGGCCTGAATTTAAAGGCAAGCGGGCTGCCCCCCATCCCGGCCCTCTCCGCCCTGGCCCCAATATGGCCAGGATGCCCAGTGCCCAGCCCTTGTCTGGGCCCAGGCAAATGCAGGGAGCTGTGCCCAGGACAGTGAGAGCAATCAGCATCCAGGAGGCACCAGCTGATCGCGTGGAGTGGGGGGCTGTGTGGCAGAGCCCTTGGTTGTGGTCAGACTCAGAGGGTGGGTTCGCACTACCCCTAAACCCAGGTCAGTTGAAGAACCAACAGCTGCCTAACCTTGGAGGGTCTTCTTAGGGGATTGTGTGAATCTACTTCATTTGGTTAGCTTATGGTTCAGTATGTTGTGCAAATCCAGGAAGTGGGCTAGTTCAGTATCCAAGCTCAGCGTGTTGTGTGAACGAGCCCTGAGGGGATGAGGGGATTGAGAATGTTCCCCAACTCATCACTTTTTCGAGGTATTGGACTACAGTTCCATCATCCACTGCAGCCAACGCTGCCCAGAGGACTTTGGGGGAAAAGGGTTGCCTTCTTAGCTGAGAACGTGAGCAGCTCAGGCTCGCCGGGAGAAGCCAACGGATTGGCCCGGACATAGCACAGTGTGTAATGCAGTTCCTTACAGCCGCTCTGCCGGAACGTTGTTCGGTTGGCAATGGTGTGTAGCATTGTGTGGGCCTACCTGTTGTGGTTTGCAAACCTCCAAGGGCGACCCAGCCGGTGTCTTGGCTCTGCAGTCTTTGAGGCCAGGGAGGTCCCAGGGAAGAAGAGAAATGGCCACGCTGGATTTTGCGGTTGCCTCTGAAGTGCCCGGCTCCTGCAGGACGGCCCTGGACCCAACCTGGGCCCAGCCTCGCTTGGAAGGGAGGGTCTGCCTGGGCCCCTCCTGTGAGGGGCTGCTGCTGGGGGCTTCCCCATCCAGGAGCGGCTTCCTTCCAGGTGGGTTTCATGCCCACCCACCTTTTCTGACGGGCAACTGGGGGAAGCAGAATTGGTGCCTCCAAAGGCCTGGGTTCAAAAGTGGCTTCTGGAAACTCACACTTCAGCAAAGTGAAATTTGCTGGCAGTGGGATGGGGATCCCTTGCTAGGTGTTGGGGGCTCCTGCCTCCCACAGAAAACAACTGTGTTATAAAAGAGGGACCCCAGAGCTGAACAAAAGTGGTTTCTGAGAGCAGCGGTTGTGGGATGAAGAAGAGGAGGCTGTCAGGGAGGCATTTGGGAGCTGGGACAGATCCGGTACCTTTCTCTCAAGGAACTGAGCCTAACTAGGAGCAGGTGGACTGGACAGAATGTAAAAAAAGGGAGTTGGATTCCCTGGCTTTTAAAGAGATAGTTGGGATGTGGGTGTTCTGGATGGGGCACAACTGAAGAGGACACATTGGCGAAGGTTCTGCAGGGGAAGAAGCGTTGCCCAAGAAAATGGGGCTGTCCACAAGCGGAACTTGTGCCCCCCCCCAATTCGAGCACTGGATGGCCTGATTCTGCTTTGGTGTGGTGCCAGGCCCCTTCCTCTCTTCAGTGGCCCTTCTTTTGCCCTGTAGCACCAGCGCTGCCCTGTGGTGACCCTCGAGCCGGCCCCCCTGCCGGTGACACCGCCGCTGTCCCCACAGCCCTCTACCCTGGCCAGCAGCCGCTCCGAAAAGGGCTCGTCATGGTCCAGCCGCTCCCTGGGCGCCCGGTGCCGCAACTCCGTTGCCTCCTGTCCAGACGAACAGCCCCACATTGGCAACTACCGTCTTCTTAAGACCATCGGCAAGGGCAACTTCGCCAAGGTCAAGCTGGCCCGGCACATCCTCACGGGCAGGGAGGTGAGTGGGGCGGAGGGGGTGCCTGGGGAGCAGTGGGGCTTTGAGGACAGCACGTGGGGTCGCAGATTGCCTCTCCCAGCACAGCCGAACCGGCCGGCAAAGATGCAGAGCAGAGGACGGAAGGGGGACCGGCCGGCCCCTTGTCACTGCGCAGGTGAGGCGTGGAATCAGCTGCTCTTGGGTGGAGACGCCCTCGGTGGGGAGGGTGGGCTTCTTCCCATGGAGTCATTGCCCCAGACCTTGTGCCCCCCTGCTAGTGGCTTCCTGCCAGGCATCTGGTTGGAGGTGCTCTTGGTGCATCTGGGATTCGGGAGCTTCCCACAGTGCCTCGCAAAAAGTGGGCCTGGTGGAGCCCCTCCTGAGGCTTTGACCCTGCTGCCTGCAGGCCGAGATATGTCAGACTGTGACTCCCATCATCCCTTCAGCTGGCAGGGGAATATGGGAGTTGTAATCTGACACATTCAGAGGGAAAGGTTAGGGCTTGTTAATTACTTTACTTGCATGCTGCCACTCCTGAAGGCTCTGTGCCGCTAACAAAGCAAAGAAAATCACCAAGCCTGTCCCTCTAAAAAAGAAAAATCCATAAAATAAGCACCATATCAACAATTCTGCAGAGGGAAAATGTGCAAGAAGCGCTTCTGCACAAATCAAAATCAAATCACTCGCTGCTCTCCCAGGCCCCGAGGGTCCCCTGGGGGGCGTTCCAGAGCACAGGAGGGGAAGGGGGAGGCTCCCCGTAGACCCAGAGGGGCAACCAGTCCAGGAGGGGAAGAGCCTTGGCCTGGGGTGCCTGTGAGCCTCCCGCCCTGAGCTGGCTGAGGTGGGGCTGTAGGTGGCCCGCAGCCCCCTCCCGCCCCCCCCCCCAGAGCCACGAGGGGGCCGCCGCGCAGGCCCCGGCGGCCCGGCTGC